ATTTTGCAGGGCAGCAGCTCAAATTTTACTACTTCAAGTTTATGGATAAATTAACACCAAGGCTAGTTGTCTGTACGATTGTTGTAACACAGTTCAACCAAAAACAATGCCCCGACGGTGTTTTGAAGATAAACACATTGTCAATCATTTGTGAAAATTTCAAAACAAAAGGTCAAAGCGTCTAGGAGCTATTTTTTTTTTAAGTTCTGGGATGTGCACTAAAAAGAAGCTGAGATAATTGCTAATTTGCATAACAATTCACTCAGTAAGAAGTTTGCTAATGCTCATAATTAAAATGACTTTAACAGTTAAATATAGTGCATAATATGGAGATCCCGTCATTTCTTTTTTTCACCATGTTTCTTTTTTATTATTTATGTACAGCCTTGCTAAATGTTGCTAAACATTCAAAAGAGAGAATGTTTGCACCTGTTATCTATATTTAAAATTTGTTTTTTTGAGTATGTTCCTCTATTCAAAATCCTACAAACTTTTAACAGGCAATAGCCAAGACTGTTTAGATAATAAAAAGCAAAAAAAAAAAATTCACTCCAAAGTGCTCACGAACCTGCATCTCTACCTTTAGTCAATTTTCAGTTTTTTTACAGAAAAAAAATAGGCTATTTTTGTCCCATTTCCCAAGGAAATGCAGATTATAAACAGGACTATTTTGTGAAGAAAAAGGGGAACTGGTGGTCAAAAGATCAAGCCTACTCACTGAGTTCAAACTATTGCAACATGGAGTTCTATTGTAATTTTACATTATTTAATTTACACTACTTTACCTATCAGCAGAAATAATAAGATTAAAACCCAGTGAATAACTAATGCCTTTACAGTATTGCCATGGTCATTTGAAAACCTTTCTATACAGGTATTATAGAGGGCACTATTCCACATAAAGCAGCAGTTAACAGCAAGTGGACACTAGAAAACACTATTCACACAAAGCAATTATCACAGCAGCATAATAGTTCTCATAAAAGCGATCACAGAAAATATATACAATTAACTGAAAATATTCTCTGTCATATACTAGATGTACAAGACATGAAATGTCACAGTCCCCGTTATTTGATTATAAAGTAGTACAAGGAACATCTGCAAACAGGTGAATAAATATGTACTCTTTGTGGATACAACTCATCATAAAGTGATTTCCCATAATCTAGTTTTGTACTGACAACTAAAAACTTCCACTGACCCATGTTCAGAATCTCAGAGTACACAAGTGCAACAAAACTATTTGTCATACATGTATACTTGCTCAAGAAACTGCATTCATAAATCTGAGTGAACCTTGATGTACATGACTTCTTTGTTAATCAGGTCTTAGTATATTACCAGGACCTGGGTTTGTTTCAACATCACCACTGGGCATCAGAATCATTCTCATGTTGTCAAATACAATTTTTTATTAATACAGTAAGGTTTATTATTTAAAATGTATTCATTGTACATAGAACAACATCTGTTAATTTAAACAATTGTAAAAGCTATGTTTTCAGAGCAAGTACATGTAATAATTAAGGAAGCCAGTAAAGGTTGGTCTGCTCCTAACCTTCAATGGAGAAGTAACAATAATTGTTTGAAGTTTTTTTAGTGCAGTGATATTATTGCATTTCATCATTATTAATGGGTATAAAATACTGTAAACCATTTAATT